TAGCTGCAGAAGACGCCACAGAAGAAGTGGGCTAGCAAGGAGAGGCCTGGCTGCAAGTTGACTGGGTGTGGGGCACATGGGGCAGCTCCACACCCCCACTAGCTTAATTTTTAGGTATGCACCTCACCTCAAAACTAGGGCTTATTTTCAAGGCAGGCCTTACTTTCGAGGAAACAGGGTATATATAGCACCACTCCATGGTGCTACCACAATAACAATGCAATTTCAAGAGAGGGGACACATAAAACAACACATTATTTTGCATTAAAGAAATACCAAGGCCACTTTAAAAAACAACAACAAAACGTATGGTTCAATCCCCTCCAGGGAGATTAACTACATCGCTCCTCATGGTGTTGCCCTCAGTGGCTGAAAAAGATAAAAGTAAAAGTATAGCTCTGGGTAGTAAAACTTTGTCCATGTTTCTTTTAAGTTATGGACTCAAGTCTTTTATACCACAAAACTTGCCAAGCATTACTTTTTGATTTTGTCTAGATTTAAATACAATTGCCTTGTCTGCTTCCAGTTTCCAATGTATAGTAATGAAGAATTACACATAATTTACATATATATAATACAACATTCTTCCACTGGTAATAGAAAACATAATTTATTCTGCAGGTGCAGGATAATTGCTGATAGGCTTTATATCAAAGGGAAAAGAAACATAAGGATTATCTTTGTGTAGTCTGGACTGCAAAAAATATCTTTTGAAAATGTTTTCAAAACATGCGCTTCAAGGATACAACATCTTACAACAGAAAGGAGCCAACTCTTTTGGAAGAGATCTAAAATAATAAGTTACATTCGCACTCATTGGAGAAAGGGAGACATGCAGAAAGAGCCCAAATTGTCTAAATTGCATGGGCCAATAATAGCTGAAGTGCAACCCACCCCTGCAATATAATATACTTATTCCAGGTTTGGTGTAGTTTTAAATAAATCAGCATTCAGCAATGTTAAGTTGTGCTCTCCCTATTCCAGACAAGGCAACAGATTCAGCGAAAGTGACAAATAAATGTTCAAAATGGAGTTCAAAACCTACTTCATCTCCAATATAATGGGAGGCAAAGCATGACCAATTTTATACCCATTGCAGCAGCTTTTGGATGTTGTCAGCTTAAGGAAGAAAATAGGCTTTAACAGTACAGCTAAGAATGAGTAAAGCTTGCCTCAGCATGAATTGAGGATGGGATGAAAGCAATACTATGGAGATACCACAAAAAAATGGCATGTTTATTTCATGGTTAGATGCAACAGGGAAAGATCCATCAGGTGACCAGTGTGAGTGGGACCAGAGTGGCATTTGTTCATGAATTCTGGGGCTACAGCTTGCCCCTTCTCTTCCAATCCTTGGTCATCTTCATCTGTTTTGCCATCAACTCTAAAGAGCTGGGTATAGTTCAATACTATAAATATTTCAACTGCTCTAAAGTAAGGCTGAAGCAGTAGAATCATGAAGTGGTATTAACAAAATCAGGCTGGAATAATATATAAATCACTAAAATGGAGCAACTCTAAAATGACAAGATCAATTTCTCCTTCGCAGTTGCCTCTCAAGGACACCGCAAAGGAATCTGGAAGTCAGCATTTGTTTTACGTAAAGAAAACATGAGAAGGGGAGAGAAATCCTGCTGTATATGACACAGATTCCTTTGTGAGTAGAATCTGTTTTTTTTTTAAAGTTTATTCAAAGTGTCCTGTCTGAATACGGTACAGAAAGAGGACTCAAAAGAAGGTGGACAGGATCCCATAGTCAGACCTATCTCCCACAGTGCCATACAGTATATTCTTTTAGATGATGATATATGTATAATTTGAGGGTGCGATGGCTCAGTAGTTAAAGTTGCTGAGCTTGTCACCTGGAAAAGATGACAGCTTAGGTTCAAGACCCAAGTGCCACACTCCCATTACTTGCCCCAACTCCTGCAAACCTAGCAGTTCGAAAGTATGGAAATGCGAATAGATAAATAGGCACTACTTTGGCGGGAAGGTAATAGTATTCTGTGCACAATCTGCATGTAGTCATGCTGGCCACATGATCACCAAAGTATGTTCGGACAACGCTGGCTCCCTCAGCTAAGAAAGGGAAATGAGCACTGCTCCCTAGAGTCAGACACGACTGGACAAGGGAAACCTTTACCTTTATATATATAATTTAGTCAACATCATTTGGCAATGACTGCCGAACACACTCAGTAGAGGAAGACTCAGCAATGGGAAACAACAATATTCATGCTAGTATAGAGTTTTTTTTGACAACTCAAGACCAATAAATAGCATTTTAACTTAGTAGTGGAGAAAAGGTAAACAGCATTATACCTCAGCCTTGTCCCATACAATTTTGACCAACTTTCTTTTGTGGCTATTAATTCTGAAAATTAATATTCTCAAATTAGTGTTGACAGACCACCTGGACATCTTCTCCAGAGATTTATTTATCTAAAGAGAAGGTTTATAAATAAAATAATAATTTAAAAGTAAATAAATTAACATCTCAGTGAAATATATGTCGTAACACTATGCATAACTCACTAATGCCAGCTAATCTGCATAGGACAGAATAGTTTTTTGAGCCCCAAAGGCGCAAAATCAACTGCAGGAACCAAAGAACAAAATCACATGCAGGAAAGACACAAAGTAGAGGAACAAAGAAAAAAAAAGTCTAAAAAAGTTAACAAAGAAAACAAAGAAAACAAAATTGTGTAGAAAGGCTCCTGACAATAGTACTACAGTATCTTTTTTGGTAAGTGTTTCAGATTTTCTTTTTCTTCCCCAATTGTTAAGGAGAAAAATATTATTTAGAAACTATACTTTAGTTGAGTGTAGTCTTCAGGTAAATTTTAAAACATTTTAAAACTTTTCTAAGCAGACTTAGAAAAAAAAGTTGTATGTTTCTTACATCTGATAAGAAGGAATCACTTCCAGATAAAAAGGCTGTATCTTTCAATAAATTAATTATCAACCAAACTACATTAAAAACAGGCAGCCTCATTAAAAGCGTTGTTAGTCAACTTTTTGCACATCTTCAATTCTAGTAAAATAAATTGATTAAAATCATTTGCATAGATTAAATAACTATGTATAGAAGTACTTGTATAAAAGTACAAGGTATTTAACCTACAAGTACTTACAGAGCACAGCAACTGTCAAAACTCTTCCCCTTCTAAGTAAGAAGAATGCCACTTTTAAGTTTGCCTTGGTAAGAAATACATGTTTAAAATGTTCTCCTTTTACAGTAATTGTTTTTTTTACTTATAGCCAGATTTGATATGGGTTTAATTAAATTAACTGATCACTAGACTGCATTCAATTCACTAGACTTTAACATTATAAAGAAATACCCTTGTTATTTGCAACATTACCACAAAGGATCCCTGAAACAAATAATGCAGCTAATCCTTGCAAGTTAAAAGATATTTTTTGCAGAATGTGCAACAGATGGAGAAAGAAACAGACGCATGCCAAGATGGGCCTGATTTTAAAATGGATTTTTGTTGAAATTTAATCAGATGTCCCTAGTTCTCACTGTATCAGCTCAGCTAGAAATATAAGCCTTCATTACCAGCCAGCCATACACAAGCAGTGCTGTTCTTTTATGGGTAGAAAAAAATGCCAGCCAGAAGCAACCAGGCATCACCAGAAAGAACTGATTAGCAACAGATGCACCCTTCAAAACAGCATAATTCCTTCACTGCCTGCACTGTTGGCAAAGATGGTCAAATCCATTTTATACTCAGTTCAAAACTACCAACACACTTACACAGGAATCGCAGGTTAAATTAAGTCTTGCCTCACTATGCACACACATACTATCTCTCCCTTCCTTCATCATAAGCTATGATAAAGGGATAGGATTATATTCCCACATCTAAGCCTTAATTTTAACAAATACGAATAGAAACACAAAAAGACCCAGTAAAAGAGCAACCAATTTATACAAAACACACTTTGCATGGCAGAGCAGCAACTGCTCAGGAAGGGAAAGAATACAACTGCTTGTCAGTCATGTCACTTTCCGAGAATACTTTCCCATCTGCTACTACATTCAGACAAAATCCAAATTTGGCAGACATGGGAAGAGTGTTATTTGTCAGTACTAAATCTAAAAGTAAATTTATGATGGAGTTATGTGTCTTCCTAATTATGAGGTGGGAAAAGAGAACAGTGGCATGTCAATATAGGGAAAAAAATTCCAGAATCCTTTTAAGAGCAGTGTATTCCAATTGCACATAGGAATTTTAAAACATGAAGAAACAGAGCAAGGGGAAGAGGAAGGCAGGAAGAAAGTTATGAAAGGCAAAGGAACAGTTAAATCCAGTTAGGTTCAAACTGAAAACATTAAAAGGTAAATCAAAATGCCATCATAATTAATTACATTGTCCAAACTGAGCCATTACATACAGACATCAAATTTCTCAAAGGACTACAAAATACCCCTTACACATTATATACCACATTATATCACACATTATATACTTTCTCATGGTATCAGAACAAAGGGCTGAAGCAGCCTCTCTCATTCAAAGGGTATTTATAGTACAACATGAAGATGCAATGCGTATGTTCATCAAAAATACTGCTAGACAGTCCCAGGATAAAAGACTCTTTGGAACTGGGCATTTTGACCTACTCCCAAAGTTGCATTAAAATGATTCAAATCAGCTATCTTTATAGAAAATCATCTTGCTAAATTACACACTGTCTGAAAGTGCCAGCCAGCCTTCCAATAAATCACCACCATTGTAGATCTGCTTTGCACACCCATTCCAGAAGAACTGTGGACAATCAAGCGGTGTATCAGAAAGCAGCAAGTATTTTCAAACTTTTCTAAGATTAACTTTTTGTCTCCCAATGTGGCTCTCTCTTTCCATTATTAACCCATTTGTACTCTTCTTTGAGACAAGCAAAGCACCCCAGTTTCCCTACCTCCTGATTTTTCTCTGGAGAAAAAATACCATGCAACCTGAGTAAATTGCTCAGGAGGAAGAGGAAACTGAACAGAGAATTACCCAGTGATAACAGGAGTGGTAAAAAATGTAAACCCACTAGGCTGCAGAAGCGTCAATGTGATTTAAGCACAATCCTTGTGAAATTCAGTAACTTCCAGTTATATGCCACTTCCAAAGATATATCAGCCAAAGCCTCCTTATCTATTTCCAGTTAATCTCCGGATCTCCATCTGACTTAGTATCTCCTTAGAAATAAAGACCACAAGTGGAAATAAATATTTAAAAACATAGAGGCTAAAGCTTTCTGGATTTATCACCAACAATGGGACCCAGCTCAGCCTGGTAAACTCTGATCCTTCTCGTATCCCCGTCCTGGTTTAGAAAACAAAACTAGGAGCTCCCCCAGCTCACAGAACAGTCCATCATCCAGGGCTATCTGTAAGGTGATACACATTCAAAATGGTTTTGAGAGCAACTGGAAGTCCTTGGTCTAGTGACCTCCTCCAAAGAAGCCGTTTTCAGTACCATCTGTTCGGGGGGGCCTGTTTCCTTTCCCAGGATTAGGTGTAGTGGAATACTTGGGTGGGTAACGGATGAAGAGCCGGTCTTCTTCCTTCTTTATCCAACGTAACAGTTTGGTCAAGACATTGATGGCACCAGCTTTCGTCACCAAAGGATTGAAACAGGTATATAATTCAAATTTACTTGTAACCTGTGAGAACGGAAAAAAAAGACAGACCATTCAGGCTGCACAGCTACCACCGGAGAACAAGCATAAAATTTTAACTGGAGAATGCAGGGGAAAGCCAAAAATCCCAATTAGGAAAGAGAGAACTTTTGAGAATAAGCAAAAGCATTAAAATACCCCAGTTCTTTCCCAATTACCAGATGGAACCTTAGTTCATTATAAAACGTATCCACGATTATGGTTCCTAAAATTTCAAATGACCAAATGAGCGCCAGCATTTCCATGAAATACTTTTGTTTTATAGGACGCGGACTTCATTAAGATGTATAGTATGGAAAATTCGTTCAATGTTAAAAATACTAATTCTTAGTCATACTGCAGAGCTTTTTGAAAGCATTCAAATACTGCTATAATACAAGTTTCACTAGATGTCTAAACATACTGCTATTCCTCAATACTCTGTAAATTAACAAATTGGAATTTATCATTTTAAAGCTTTCACCCTACTGCATGTATACGTAAGCTTGGTGTAGTGGCTAAAGCACCAACACTGGGGTCTAGTCCTGCCTTAAGCACAAAGCCAGCTGGGTCACATAGGGTCAGTCCTTCTCTCTCAGCTACAGGAAGCAGGCAATGGGAAACCATGAATAGGATTGTTTTGCAATTTTGTAAATATTGCAAGTAACATAATTTTATGTACTATAATTATGCATTATATATTTTATGTTTAAATAAGAAAATACTGAACATGTTAACATTTCTCCCATTATTTTTTTTTAAAGTTGGAAATAGAATTTTTCTGTCATTGTTTCAAAATACCCAGGATTTTTACATCTTCTCCGAAAAGTTCTTCTTGAGCTTTGGTAAAGTAGTTTCATATTCTTCCTGAAAGTAATGACTCTCTCTAGCTGATAGTTATTTTTTCTTCCTAAACCTTCCCTTTCCTTTACCACTAGTGGCAAAGATGAAAACTACTTTAACTAGTACAATGCACTTTTAAAAAGCAATATGAGAATCTTTTCCTTCTGCTTCTCCTCCTTCTGCAGCTAATAATTATTTATTTCAGGTTTAGAAAACTGTCTGATGTTACAATTATTAAAACCAATAAGGAGAGATTGATAGTAATTATGATTGTTCCATGTAGTCAGCCAGATGTTTAGGCAAGATTTGGCATTTTTATCTACCTATCAAGTATTATTATGGTTGGTGGCTTATTAGCATTTATGGCCAAAAAAACCTCAAATAAAGATTCATAATAGGGAATCAGTATGGCCAAAAAAAACCAAACCCAAATAAAGATTCATGATAAGGGATCAGTGAACAAGTGAAAGACTGAAGACTCCATCTCTCTAAATACTTTCCTGAAAGATGTTTGCCCTTTATAACGATCTTATGTAATAAGTCATATGAAGAAAACATGGGTTTAGGAACTGTCTAATATCTTCATCTAACATAGGTCTAGCCCAGGGGTAGGCAACCTTGGCTCTTTTATGTCTCGTGGACTTCAACTCCCAGAATTCCTCAGCCAGCCATGCTGAGGGAAAAGGGAGAGGTTTCCAAGCTGAGCCATGTTGGCTCAGGAATTCTGGGAGTTGAAATTCTTTTATGAACTCATGGTCATAAAAGAGCCGAGGTTGCCTACCCCTGGGCTAGCCCATCCATCTGAAAGTCTACCAGAGAGTTACTTCCTTAGTCAATAAAGTTGTCAGGCCTCACCCAAGCCAATAAAGTCTCCTTTTCAGCTACATGGTAGATGAGACGTAGAGGACGTGAGGTACTGTGGATGCGACTGTGAAGGTAGTGGTAGAGGTCAAAGAGTCGGTGCCGTTCATTCTCATTGCAATATGGCCCCTCCAGTTCTGGACTGTAGTAGATGAGAAATAAGATATTGAGGAAACAGGCAGCATACAGTTCACCCTCAGAATGCCTTCCACAGAATGGACTCCAGAATTTGTATACAATGAGCTGTTGCTCTATAGATGTAGAACTGAGCATTGCTAGATGTGGCAATGCTCAGCCTACTGCTAATCACTTGCGTTTAATGTCATCAGTTTTTGGAAGCTTTTCAGAATCTTCTGAAGCGACTACAAACCTGGTTCTGAAACAGGCTAAATTTGTGGTGTGCCCTACTGTTCTATAATATATCGTACTACAGTATATAGGCCAGAAGAGGCTTCCTGGACCTTGGAAGACTCTTAATAGAAGTAACTGCAGAACAAGTTCTTAAAATAAATCACATGGCCCATTCTAGTAAGGTAGGGATACCATTCATGCAGTTTTTCCCGAAGCAAATGAAGAGAAGAAAGAGGATTTCTAAAATAACATTTAAGGCACTAAAATGCATCAGAGTGAACTTTACTTCTTAACATCTTTTAGATTATGTTTATAAATTTTGTCAGCTAATTGGGATCTTATGATGTTCAGCCTTTGATTCCCTTCTTGCAGCCCAGAAGTCCCAAGACACATAGATTCCTGGAGGAAAGAAACATCACATGACTGCTACATTTAAAACAAACTGAATAAATGCAGCTTAGCATTTCCCACAGTTTCTGGCTGCCAGCTATAAAGAGGGGAAGAGAAAAGGAGTGAGAAGGACAGCCTCAACGCAGCAAACTTTAAAAGAAAAAAGATCTAAGGTAATTTTACCACTGAGCATACATTCAAACTGCAGTATATGTTTACTGCCAGGAATGACAAAACCCACTGTCAAATTCAGCTTTGTTTTTGATATCAGAACATCATCTTCACCTGCACATTATTAAAACATCTCCACAATTAAGAGGAATATTAACCTGAGATGAGGGAAAGTTACAACAAAAAAATCTCAGGAATTCTTTCTTAGGCAGGTGCAGGCCATTAAAAAAACTAGTCATATTTTCAGATTTTACTCCAAGCATGAACCGAATGATATGACACATTAAGACATCTGTGAATATTTAGGGGAAGAAGAATCAAAAGACAGATGAAATTGGCCCCTAAGGTGACATCATAGATACCTCCTTGCTTCAGGACATATTTGGTCCTGATCACAGTCGATTTCAACCCTCCAGACTTATTACCTGGTGAATTGGGGAAGTTGTCGGTAATTATCCGGTATATCCAGAGGTTTATATATAAAGTGCCGAAGATCTGGCACTCCCACCAGCCCCACACTATAGGATGGGCTCTTTAAGCCACTTGAGAGTGCCTGCAGATAGTTCTGAGTCCTCATGCCTTCCTCAATGCGTTTCTTGCAATCCGAGACAGAATAGAAAGAGTCCTTGTCCGTAGAGAGAAGGATGAGGCAGACAGTACATTCTGAATCCAAATAAGAAATATACGCATAAAAGTAACAATCAGGGTTGAAACGTGGCAAACAAATAGGTGTCCAAATTTCCCCAGTTTGGAAGGCAGAAGTTGCCCCAATGAGATTGAGTAACAGGTGTAGGTCAGTAGGTTCTAACCGGCAATCTTCAATGACTGTTTTCTCCTGCACTGTGGTGACCAACTGACTCCGAGCCACCAAAATAGAGAAGACCAGATTAGGGGTGATGGCTTTTTGTAGCAAAGTGCCCAGGGAATCCCGGAGGGAGGCGGGGAGGGGTAGACAGCGTACAGCTCCAAGGAGAAAACAAGGATCTGATTCTACCAGGTTCAGCAAACGGTCAAGGATCTTCTCCGAACCGGTCAACAAGCGCCGGAGGTCATAGTTCTTTTTCCGTTCAAAGATGCGAGTGATGCTGGCCTGAGTAAGCATGCTGATGATCTGATCGTAGACATACAAAAGCTCCTGGCGTAGTTGCTGCTCTGACTGTAGGGTATGCGAAACTGAAACCAGTACCAGGGGGCCCTGCTGCACAAAAACCAGTTTGTGATCATCTATGGTAAAAGAAAGGAGGAAAAAACAGTCATTGCTTCAGAAGATGAAGTGTGGCGTTATTATAACAGAACCAATTTTGGACACTCAACAAATGCAATATTAGCTTTCTTAGAATCCCTGTTTCCCTTTTCCAAAAAAAAAAAAGTTAAATCAAGGATTTACTGTACAGGATTTGAGCTGATGGAGCAAATCTGGGCAAAGAAGAAGAATCTCAGTATAAATGCCAGGAATTGGGAAAATAGACCATGAAATAAAAAGTGAGCAGAATGCATTTTTGCTATCCTAAGGATTTGAGGAGTCTGTTTTTGGTCCTGAAATGTATCTTCTACTGAGTAAAACTAGAAACAATTCATAAATGAGATTATATCTAAGAACATTTTAATGACGGTGTGGCAAAGAAATTCAAGGCCTGAATGAAGTAACCGTGAAAACTGCTCCTGCATTGAAGATGCTGGAAGGAACGGGTCTTACAAATAATATTTTTAATATCCTATTTTGATCTATGGTTAATAGCTTGAAGTCAGATAGTTTAATGCAGTTAAGAAAAAGAGATATATTCCTCTAATTACTCCACTTTTATCAGTACAACCAAGTAATACTAAAAACTTGTGATGGTTATTCTAGAAATGAACTGAAACTGGTTCAGCTCCTAATGATTTTGCAAGTATTTGCTTCTTTGATACTATGATACTATTGTTCCACTTTTAAAATTAATATGAAAATCTGGTACCTTGAATCAAATTTAACAACTTGGCAATATTTGTCACTGCCATTTCCATCCTTTTTTGATTGCCTAACTTCATCAACAGTCCTGGAATATCCAGGAAATGGTCGCTTAATCCCATCCAAATACTACACTACTAACTTTTTCAAGATTTGTCTAGATTGGCTATGTGTGACAGGGATCATGTATCTTCTAAATGTCTCACTAAGCACTATGTTTTCAGGTTATATTAAACAACAAAAAATAACTTTTATTGGAAATGAGAATTATAGTCTGATAGCGAAATATAATTTAAATCGTATTTAGAATTTTAAATATGAATGTATTTAAATAAATATAAATATATTTATATTTAAATATGAATTTTCCTATCTAAAACTTTACACGAATCTGTTGTAAATTAAATCCATCCAGACGTCAATGCCCATAAATCCCAAGCTAGGTTGGCTGAGAATTCTGGCACCAAATCACATATTAGTTCAGTGCATGAACTAATTAGTGCATTTCCCTTAATTAGAATTTGGTGACGTCAGCAGTCTTCTAAGCTTTCTGCTGGGAGCGTGAACATGTGGTTGGGAACTTTAAAAGGAAGCATGCATTTGCACCAAGCAGGCACTCGGCTGCACATATCAAAATATTAATAGCATGGCAAAAGTCCCAGAATTAAGATGTGCTCACCGTAAACTACTTTAGAGTTTGGGTTTTTTTCTTTCCTGGATAAAGAGTTGCTCATAAAATCACCTTTCTCTTTGCTCAGCATAATACTACATCATAGTCTGTGGTTTCTACTAAGACAAAAGCCAGAATTTTATCTATTAAACTTAGAACTAAAATCAAATACAAGCTGGAACAACAATTTCTTTTTAAAACAGTCAAAGCATGCTTTTATTCTTCCAGCTATCCCCTTATGTATCTATTCTCCGAGTTCAACTGCCCATCCCACCTAGAACATGTTATACTGTAATAATTTTGTCTTAATACAGGTAGTCCTCGACTTATGACAATTGAGCCCAACGTTTCTGTTGCTAAGTGAGACATTGAACGTTGCCCAATTTTACAACCTTTCTTGCCTGAGCTGTTAAGCAAATCACTGCCGTTGTTAAGCTGGTAACACGGTTGTTAAGTGAATCGGGCTCCCCCATTGACTTTGCTTATCAGGTCGCAAAAAGTGATTACATGACCTCGGGACATGCAACTGTCATAAGTATGAACCAGTTGACAAGCATCCGAATTTGGATCATGTGAGCATGAAAATGCTACAACAGTCGTAAGTGTGAAAAATGGTCATAAGTCACTTTTTTCAGCGCTATTGTAACTTCGGTCACTAAATGAAAGGTTGTAAGTCGAGGATTACTTGCAATTAGCAATGGAGAAAATACAGTAACATATTGCATGTTCTTCTGGCATGCGGATTTTTAAAAAGTTTACTAAAAAAACCTGTAGCAAAAAAGAGTACATTCTGTTTTCCATATTATTCTTCCCATATTCAGGAAGGCTGGATATAGCCAGCAGCTACCTCACGGAGGCCCAGGTTGGCCACATCTCTTCAGTAGTGGGAGGAAGAGTAGCAGTAGCACTTAGACTTATATACCCCTTCACAGTGCTTTACAGCCCTCTCTAAGCGGTTTACAGAGTCAGCACATTGCCTCCAACAATCTGGGTCCTCATTTTACCGAGCTTGGAAGGATGGGAGGCTGAGTCAACCTTGAGCGGCTGAGAATCGAACTGCTGGCAGTGAGGAGAATACTGCATTCTAACCATTGCGCCATCACAGCTCTGGTGAAAGTCAGCTGGGGCAACAGGGACAGAGGTGTGCAGGGGCAGCAAAGCATAAGGCAGCCAAAAAAGGTGAACTTGAAGGGGGAGATAGCAAGGCAGAAGGGGAAAGTTCAAGTGGAGATGAATAACACAGAGCAGGAAAAGCATGAGGTCCTCGCTTAACAACAGCACAGTCTTGGCCTAATGACTCCAACTGGCACTATTAGAACTGCCATCACTAAGTGGTGTAGTCACATGATGCTTCACCTAATGATTACTTTGCTTAGTGTCAGAAATTCTGGTCCCAATGAGGGTTGTTAAGCGAGGACTACCTGTACATCAATTCATACTTTGCCCTTTGTTCCTTAAATTTCTCATCCTTGACTTTTTGAGAAGTTCATCAGTGTACCAAAACTGAGATTTCCTTGGTCTTCCTCCTGACCCCTTCACTCTTCCTTTATAGATTTGTTTTTCAATATGATCCTCGTTCATTCAATTTTTCAACATAAACTATCAAATGTCATGCTTTTAGACTTACATTCCTTTCTTTGGCATTTATTCATGCAAACCTATTTAAGCCACATTTTCTAAACAAATACCTTTTCCTAAGCAAATATTCACTAACAATCACCATTTTCATTTATTCCTGAGTCTTCAAATGGCCCAGGGACTTTTTCTATGGTCTTTTATCTTCTCATCTACTTGCTTGTCACTTAAAAATATTTTTTCCCTACCTCACATTTATTTAGAACGTTGCAGCATTTTCCCTAAAACTTATTTGTGGTTGACCCAATTTATATTAGCTGATACAGTTATCCCTTTTATTCATAATTTAACTCTACACTTTCAGTTCTGTACATGAATTCATCAACTCTGCTCTACAAAATTTGATCACCTTCATTCAGATATATGTCCACCTCCCCCTTTATAATTTCCCAAACACACATCATAAGTATTTCTTCCTTTCCTTTCCCTTTCATTTCATTTGTTGATTCATGCCCTTTAAGATATACTTATGAGTTTTTAAATTTCATCAATGGAGGCTTTTAAACAACATTTTTAGTAAGATAGGAAATATATCAACTAGGTTACCAGCTGTAGCTATACCCACATTATGCAAAGCATTCCCTGCTAACATTTAAAGACTGGTCAGGTTTGAACAGATTTTGGCCAGTATACTAGAAACCTAACCAAAACTCAGGTTTTACATCAAGCAACCCACTATATTCTATGTACAGTAAAATTTCTAATTTACAAATTACTTTATGAGTTGGCATACATTTCACCACCTACAATACAGTATACATATACCATAGTATAATGACAATCTCAAGATATTAAGTAGCAAGGGAAATACAACTGTTTTGGGGAAAATGGTTAGACCAGCCTACTTGCAAAGGGTCTCAGACATTTTAATAAACAATACTTATCAAAATGGGCACAAACATGCCAACTGATCTATAATCCAGTGCTTAAATTACGTGGGTGGCCCTTAATGAATTCTAAGCACTGCAATCCCAAGCTTTTCTTATTTTAGATAAATCACAGGCACATACAACCTCCTAATAAATTTATTAAGAGCATTACTCCTTTTAAAAAAAATTCCATACCAGAATAAATGGAGCGAATAGAGTTATCCCCACTTTGGATGAATGACACCAGTGCCATCATGACACCCATGGTGGAACTAAGGGCTTCTTCATTGCCGTAACGTGAATAAATGGGTTTCCCAGCCTCACTTAAAATGAAGACATGTTTCCTGTGTGCCCGCCAACTCTCTGCAGTCACATCTTCATCTCGGTATGTAGCCAGGCGTGACTGTATCACTGCTTCCTGTTCTCCTGATGGTCCATCTCCTATCACCATTTGTCGGTGAAACTCATTTGAATCTTCCCAAGTGTTGTCAGTTGAGGTTGAATCAGACGCATCTTTGTCACTCAGTTCCTCTGGGGCTTCTCTCAGCTCCTCCTGCCCGTTCACTTTGTCAATTACCATACTCATGGGTCCATTATTTGGGGCAGCAGGAACTTCTTCCTGCTTTTCTGAGACAGAACAGGACTCATCCCCATCTGGAAAAGCATATTGAGAAATCACAGGAAAAAAAATCCAGAAGTAATCTTTGTCCCCCCCCACCCACCCACTGAGTCAGTAACTAGAGATTCCCATTTATTGGGCAGATTATAAAACTATATCAATAAATAAAGTCTTCACAACAAATTCAGTAAGCTCCCCACAACATATGTATCTCTCCCACTGTCATAAATCAAATGGTCAAGTCTCTCTTATTTTTTCATAATGCCTGAATTAATTCCCAGAAAACGGGATACTTCGGGTGGGTGGGATTTGATTGCTGCAAGTGGCTAGGGCTAACCCCTATATAAGAGAAAATGCTTGGGGAGTGTGCTTTTTTGCTTACAGCATAATTTTCATGTAGTTCTCTCCTGAAAATGGTAGAAAATTATACTATCAGTTTTTGGCAAACATGGTTAGGATAAGTAGGCGCCAACGCCTGTTTTGTTTCCATTTGTGTGTTAAATGAATGCAGGGTTCATAGATCATGCTAAATCAATATTTGTTTTAGCCACAAGTTGTTGAATTTCTTATAAATGCTACATTAATACATACCACTAAGATATGGCTGGCTTTGTACAACATACTAAGCCAAAAGTCCAGTTTCTCCCCCCCATTATACTTTAGTAAGGTGTGTGAATTTAAATATTAGAATAATTTAAAATATTTTATGGATTATTTTGTGTGAAAAGTCTATTGTGGCTTGGTCAATAATCCATACTTAACATATCATGTGAATACAGTGCTCGCTATTTTTTTTCTGAATTGTTCTTCCAAGCCCACTTTTTTTCCCTATTAGTCCTAGTGCTTTTGAAAATAAAAGGTTACATATCTACAAATGTGTGGATTCACATACAGTTCTTATCTTTGCTTTCCCCTTTGTTGTGCGGGAGTTTAAACCGTA